GATAGCCATTGAATTACCATTCTTCTTTACTCTTCATAGTATGTTACCTTTGGCAAGTGGACAAATCTCTTTAAGAACAACCATCCATTTTAAAACAGAGTGGACAAATCAAGTTTTTGCTTTGTGAGCACTTGCTGAATATAATAGAACATTTTTAGTACACTTTGCATTTGAAGAGTACTTTTAATTTTTCATAGTTATACACTTATTGTCTCATATGATATGTGCTATAGAAAATCCTGCATCTAGAGGGAAAGCTTATCACAGCTATTTCAGTGACAATGACAAGAGGGAAGAGGATACTGAAGCCACATCTTTAAACATCTGTTCCACCATGTTCTGAAAAAAATCCAACTATTGATGGGACTAATCAAATGATATACTAAGAAACACAGATGTGAAATAGTTACTTTAAAAGATATTCTAAAAAATGAGAGCTGAGAAGCATTAGAAATCCTTTACTCTAATTCCCATTTAAATTACTATAATCATGTCAGTCTTCCTTGAAGTGAGGCTCACTTTATTCATTTTTGAGAAAATATCTGCCAAATGCTGAAGTTTGAATAGCCATAGTTTATCAGATGTTCTTTCAAATAAAAATGGTCTTCAGGAGTACCAGACAATTCAGCTTGCACAGGTGCTTTTCGTAAAGACAGTCATTGTATTTTAGTATGCAGTAAATACTAAATTTTGTCACACAGAATATTAAAGAAATATGTGTACTAAAGGGTCAGGGTTTAATAAAATAATTCTTCCTGCTTCTTCAAGAGAATCCTTAAACGTAATTGACTCCCTGCCCACTCTCCAACAAGTCCACAGAGTGATGAAGAATATGATGACTGCTAGAACAACTTGATGCCACTACCTTGAGTCATACTCAGGTACCAGCAGTTTTACCAGTCAATACTTTTGCAACAGCACTGCAAAGGTTAACATACCTAAAAAGGTACATGGTATCTTAGCATTGTTATGAAAATAACATTCACCTTAGAGAATCTCAGAAGAATCTGAAGGACCCTCTGTAGTCTAGAGCCTAAATTTAAGAACTGCTGATATACACCCATAAATTTCATGAAAGCAATTTCTTGTTTCAAAGATGGCACCATCATTCCATCTTCAAGAGGAAAGGTGAGAATTACAGCATCATAGAATTTTACTATTTTCCTTTTCTGGCAGGACCTATTCAGGAAAATTTCTGACTTACTCCTGCTGGTTTTAAACTAAAACATGGTATGGCACACATGATCTTTATAGACTAAAGCAACATACTTTCATGGCAGGAAGAGTAGCAGACACTAAATTAATACTCTCATAAGTACTCTGTACCAACAACAAAGACAAAGTCCCTTAACATATTGGGTTGTACCCAAGTTCATGGAAATCCTCAAATACTCCATAAAGATACTATCAGGTAAATCAAAGGAGAAAAAACATAATAGTTTTTATACTTTAAAAAATGTAACTTGGTATTATTATATATTTCATATGCATATCTAGAATACAATGTGGAACCTGTCCAATTTTCCATTTGTATAACTCAACGGATTATGATCCAAGGGTCTTTTATACTTTTTGTTTTTCTTTTTTGGTGAATGGATGTATAATGATACTTGCGAAACACCTATAGAAGAAGCCACAAAATGTTAAAGCCGACTTCATACGGAAAATGCAGAACTGTGTACTAGTAAAAAATCAAGTTAAAAACTTAAAGACAACACAAGTAATATGCTATTTGCACCTAGATTTTCACCAGTGGAGAGCTAAATGTTATTGGCGGATCTTTGTTACCAAGTTAGCAAATCAAACAAAATATTATTTGGTTAATTGAGATGGATGTTTAAAATGCCAGTAGATTGCAGATCTACTTGAAGGTACACACAGAAGAGTTCAATTCTTAAAAAATAAATCTCAGAAACTCAAATTTATTACCGTTAATACATTAGGCTTCTTTTTTTCCCAGGCATCATCTATAAAGCCAAGTTTATAGCAATAATGGTTATATAATCACCCGGAATAAAGCTTCACTAGTACTGAAGCAGTGCTTACAGGCACATAATTTGGTTGGAATGAAACTGTGAGATAGCAACAAGTGCTAACTAGAACAAGTTGTTTAGAATATCTAAATTGCTGTATGGAGAACTGAAATGACTGTTAAATGAAATGAGACTGTAAGTCACACCTTTTAACTGAAGCAAACGTGGACAGGACAGAAAAGAAAGGCAGAGACAGATAAATTCCATAGGCTGCAATCTAAATGGAATAATTCTGTTGAGTCTAACTATAAAAAAACTATTCGGTTAAAAACAGGCCTGCATACAGAGACAGGTTCTCTGAAGCCCTGTTGCTGCTTTAGGCAAGGGTTTATTAGATGGACTCTGGCTCTCCTATACACAGGGCAATCACCAAAAATACATATTTAGGTAAATGAATGAACGGAAATATCTCAATACAAATTTTCCAATTCTGCCCATTAACTGATCAAAACAGATAAATCCTCATTGATATGTAATTAAGAATTTAACAGAAAAGAGAAATGAATCAGAGGGTATTCTGACATGCTCACTACCAATGTTCAACTGTGTTAAGTTTTAGAGGGTAAAACAAAGCCTTAGAATATAACAAATTAAGCAGACTCAAAGGGTCTATAGTTTTAGAAAGGATAGCCTAGCCAAGACAGACTATTACAGAGCAAGAGTCAATTTAAATTTAGTTTTGTTTCTTAAATTCTTGGGCATTCTAATCCAAACACATTCTGGTATTGCATGTTTCTCACAAACTGACAGATACATAACCTTCCCCTGCCCTCGCTGTGGAACAGTCTTTATGAGGTTTTTAATTCAGGATCCATGGATGAACATCGTATAACACATGAATTGTCTTAAGTTACATATGCACATTTATTTTGGTGTTTGAATGAATGCATGTATTTATGGGAAAGAGGCCAGTTGTAATAAGATTCCCAAAGAGGGGCCGGGAGCGGTGGCTCAAGCCTGTAATCCTAGCACTTTGGGAGGCCGAGGCGGGTGGATCACGAGGTTAAGAGATCGAGACCATCCTGGTCAACATGGTGAATGAAACCCCGTCTCTACTTAAAAAAAAAAATTAGCTGGGTATGGTGGCGCATGTCTGTAATCTCAGCTACTCGGGAGACTGAGGCAGGAGAATTGCCTGAACCCAGGAGGCGGAGGTTGCGGTGAGCTGAGATCGCGCCATTGCACCACAACCTGGGTAACAAGAGCGAAACTCCGTCTCAAAAAAAAAAAAGATTCCCAAAGAGATCCAGAACCATCTAAAAAAGTTTAAGCAACCTAATATAGGAAGCTCCTTTATTTGACAGGAAGCCATTAAGATTATCTCTGGGGTCCTAAGAAACTAAGGAGACTATGTTCTAGATGAGATTGCTAGAAAGACTTCAGTTCATTGTATTTTTGTCACAAACACCAGGTACTATAAAAAGATCATTTTTAAAAAAAAGTTCAGAGGCTCATGGCTCTGAGTCCACCTTCTCAGTATGCAACTGACAACATGTGTGGTACCAACCATAAGGGTTTCAGAAAGAGGAGTAATAAAAATGATTATCAACTGCTGTATGAAAACCACCTGATGATTCATAATAGTGACCTTAAACTGTTAAATAATGTCATTAAGCACTTTCAGTTAGCACTGATAAAAGTCTCAGAGTTGGACTGATTTTACTACTAACAAAAGATATTAATTTTTCACTCTTCCCATGAACTAACAACAGCCTATCTCCTAGGTATCTAAAGCTCCCATCTTCATCTAAATACAGAAATACTGTTACTAGAAAACAGTTCTTCAAACAAGCTACTTTTCCATTCATGGTACACCTGAAGATTTTGCAGAAGATAACCAACTCTAAATAGAGCAATACTTTCAAACCCAAACCAGTCACATGTCACATGTCTCTCCTGAGGAAGAAGATTATGCATGAAAGATAATATTCCTGATAAAAGACATGTTCACACATTGTTTTAGGTAGAACCAAATATTCTAAATATGTGTTTTCCCTGCAATGTAGACTAAATTAATTGCCAAAGATGAAAAATTACTTGCTATAAGGTCCTCCACTTCCTCCATAATCATAGGACTGCTGTGACTGATCATCGATGCTGTAACTTGTCTGGTAGAAATCCGTGTTTAAGTTTTCAAAACCGGACATTGCAAATAATCTGTAATAAATAAGAGAAATGGTGAATATTGCTTATGCCCAAGATCCTACTGAATTCATTCCTGGCAGTCTGCTTAAGCAAATACAGAACACAACAAATATTTTTTTCAGTAATGCGGGGGGCACGGTGGAGGTCAGGGAGGAAATGCAGCATTCGAAAGGCGGTACCGGAGAGAGAGTAAGAAAATGTCTATTCCCGAAGTTGCGGCCCAGTAAGACAACTCCACCTTAGGAGCTGATGTGCCTTCCGTTAGGGGCGAGGTCGTGGGAGTGGTGGTTCCACAGGGGTCTAAAATATCGATAATAACAAAAATGATTTTTCACCTTGGGACAGGGCTTTACAGCTGACAACGCGACTGCTTCCTTGAAACATAAGGCCTGCCGCCTGCCAGGGAAGTGCAGAATCTTGGAAGGTCGCGCCTGAGGTGCAGGGGCCCGCATCAGGGCAAGGGCTTGAAGGGGAGCGAGGGTCTGAGCGAAAGGACCAGGGCGCGGCGCCAAAAGACGGCAACAAGCCCATTTGCACAGGTGTGGAGAGAAGCCGAACAGTGTGCCATGAGCCTGGGTCACTCACCAAACGCTGAGGCTGCGCCGGCGGCAAAGGCAGTAGCTTCAGCAGTCCCAAACAATCCCCAAACTCAGTTTCAGACCCTGAACTAGCCCCGTTGCTACGTGTCACAGGGCCAAAGAACTGCTTCCGGGGCATGCCCGCTCGCGCAGGCGTGTTGGCAGGTTTTGCGTTCTCCTCTTTGGTTGGGCAGCGGTGGGCAGGGGGAGGAGAAACAAATTTGGAGCATGCGCAGTATGTAATCCGCCTTCGGCGGGCCAATGCGAAGGGGGAAAGTGTTTCCGGCAGCCTTGCTAGCGGTGGAACCAGGAAAGCGCAGGCGCAGCAATTGCTGCTTACGGTGAGGTCTTTCTCAGACCGAGATATTGGTGCGGGAGGCGCTAAAATGAGACAGAAGGAGCCCCTTCTCCTGTCCACAAACTCCAGTGCCCCAGTGTCTGCATTTATTGTGATTCAAGCACGGTGCTTAAGAGTTTATATGTATTATGTAATCTTTACAATCCAATGAGATGGTTACTCTGTTACTTCCCTTTTATAAGTGAGGCTATTAAGTGTGCATTCATTCTGTGCTAGCTGGGGAATGCACTGTGGTAAATATAAGCTGTATGATATCTACGCATCTGGAGTTGGTGGTGGAGAGGGGTAATCAAACACACACAAATGCACGTGAAATTGCTACTAATATTCTTTAGTGCTCCATAATTCTTTGAAAGAGTGTAACTAACATTCATCTGTGAAGAAATCTGTAAAGCCGCTATAAGAGGATTATCGAAGGGTGAATGGGAGTTAGAGAAGAGGAGAAAAAAGAGGAAAGGGCAAGGGTAAAGGAAGACAAGGCAAAATAGCCTGAATATCTTAGGCAAAGAAAACAATATATGCAAGACCTGGGAAGCATGAAAGATGAAATCGGGTTCTAAACTTAAGCATTATTGACATTTTGGGTCTAGATGATTCTTCGTTGGGGGCTGCCCTGTGCGTGTAAGATGCTTAGCAGTAGCATCCCTAACCTCTAGCCATTAGATGCCAGTACTCCCCACAACCCACCACTACCACCAAGTTGACACTAAAGTGACAGCTAAAAAGTTGACACTAAAGTGACAGTTGTCACCAAGTGACAGCTAAAAATCTCTCCAGATATTGTCAAATCCAAATGGCCCTGGGGTGGAGGCGGGGACATCAGCTGAATTTGGGAACCACTCTTCTCTGAGAAACCTGAGTGACTGGAAGAGCAAATAAGGGGAGCCACATGAATTGAGGCTGATATAATAGGAAGGGGCCAGGAAATATATCCTGTGGAATTTGTGTGTTGGTTTTGAAAGAAGTGAAGATTGTGAACTGATGAGTGATGTTTAGATTGTTTTCTTTTGAAAACGAATGCTTTGGCTGCTGTGTTAAATCACTTTCTCAAGGTGGTGGAATCCTTAATATTGTGACTCTAAATACCATGTTATTAGCTAATGAGCAGAACTTTCTTCAGGGTTTATAGTAATAAGATTTATCATGAAACATTGCATTATTTTCTGGGATCAAAATCCTGAGGCCCTCACAAAAGAAGCCAGACCATTGTTTGGGGACTGGTTTCCAAAGGAACAATAAAATTTCACTGAAAAAATTTCTCTCAACACCTCCCATCACAATAAAACACAAGTAAAACTAAAACAAACAAATACGCTACCCTCCAAACAAAAATAGCAACACCAAAAGGATATAACAACCAAACCAAAAAGCCTAGGATTATACTCTAGAGACCAACAGGTAGCTACCCTTTGAGGTTTTTACTCCATTGGTGAATTTATTTATTTATTTATTTTTATGGATACATAATAGTTGTCCATATTTATGAGAAAAATGTGGTAGTTTGATGCAAGCATACAATGTGTAATAATGAAAGCTGGGTAATTGAGATATATCTGTCAACTCAGACATTTATCATTATTTTGTGTAGAGAAAATTCTAAATCCTAGTTATTTTGAACTATACAGTAAATTATTGTTAACTATAGTTACCCTATTTTGCCACTGAACACTAGATTTTTGTACCTTCTATCTAACTATATTTTTGAATTTCTGAAATTGATCATTCAAGTGTTTAATTTACCATCTTTCAGTTTAGCATATATTGGTTTAGGTATCATCTGCACAACTTTAGGTAGAATAATCACTTATTATGATTTGCTAGAGACAGTCCCATTGTCCCATTTTCTGCCTATTTTTACTTACCCCCAGCATAATTATTAATATTGTTTCCTTTTAGTCTAAAAAATATCCTACTTGCATTGATAAACTTTGTGATTGTACTTTCTTTAAGCTACATTATCCATGAAGCTGAGTTTCTAGTCATCAACAATAGGCAATAATTATCTACTTAATAATCTTATGGTTAATAATGTTATGAGATTTTATAGTTGCCTTCTCTCCCTTCTGTTTTTTAGTTAATATGTCATGGAAAATTGTGCCAGAAAATTATGGTTTGAACATGGACAGTTTTCTCCTATCTTCAGCTATATCCACAAGCACCACATGAAATGGCGATCTGGCAGCTCTGTGTGTATCAGTCAAGTTCCGCAATGAGACCTGACAATTATGGTAAAAACCAATATAAATACCCAGTGTTTGTTTTTCCTCTCCCTACATAATAACTATGTAACCTCTTTTCCAAAATATGACAATTATATTTCCCCCAAATTATCTTTTTTCCCTTGCAAAAGAGTTTCCTCATCAGGTCTCCTGTATTAGGTTATTCAAATTCTGCTTCTTTTATTTCAATTATTTTACTTCGAACAATGAATAGTTTTGGGAAGACAGATTTGCCTGTAATGGCGTTGAATGCTTTTGTACAGAACTGGTTTTTTAAAGCAAAGAAAGTTAACCCCGATTTTATAACTATTCCTGGAAGCTGAACTTCAATATTGCAAGTGTTACATGTTGTTAAAAAAAAAAAAAAAGTCTTTTAAAGATAACATTTAAAGCAGTATTGCAAATACTGTAAATATTTTCATTGTAGAGATCAATAATACCCTCTTAAGTAACAAATAAAAACATTTCTAATGTCAAGTGAATAGGTATTGTGGCTTGGAATATGAATTTCAATGAAGGCACTGAAGTACTAAAGCCCTGGAAGTCAGTATTTCAAGTAGCTTAGATAGCAGGTGAGAGAATGTGAAAGACAGCATGGGAGAAATCCAAGTGGGCTCTAATGAGGGCAGAGCCACTCATGCCAAAGGTAAAAGTGAAGCATTTAAAAATATAGCAGCTAACACCTATATATATTTCAAGCATTTGTGTGCCAAGCATTTCTTTAAGCACTTTGCACTTTTTGACTCAATTACTCCTCCTAACAACCCAATGAGGTAGGTGCCATGTAACTCCCATTTGACACGTAGGAAATTGAGGGCAGAGTAATTTGTTAAACATTATTATGCTAGAAAATAGTAGACTAGAGATTTTGAACTCGTTCCGGAGTCCTTATGCTAAACCACTAGGCTGTATTGTTATTATTATGAAATGTGAATGTAGAAAAGGCAATAATTCTGATTAATGTACTAATTTATCTAAAATGTGATTGCTGATATCTATATAAACTAAAATTGCAACTAGACATTTGAAAATTGCATCTGTGTCTCCACATTTATATACATTCAAGTTGATAGAAAATATTTTCTGTAATCTCATTGGGCAAATAATATTTAAACCTTATGTTTAAGTTTACATTACATTAGTCTTGTATAATAATCGATATTGCATGGTAGTTAAGGGTACAGGCCCTGGAGCCAAACTACATGGATTTACATTCTGTACTACTTACGAGCCATGGATCTTCAGTAATTTATTCAAACTTTGTGCCTCACTTTTCTCATCTGTAAAAGCAAGGTAAGAGAATTCATTGCTAAAAGGATTGTATGATATAATGTATTCTAGTATAAGTGTGTAAGTACTAAATATCCAATAAATATTTGCAATAATTATTGATGAATCTATGTAGCTACAGAAGCAATATGATTTCTTCAGGAAAAATGGGCTTTTAGAAAGCTATAAGGATGGATTTGAACAAGCTAACTACTTCTAAGATCAATTATAAACATTCACTCTGTTCCCCTTGCTGATTCTGTATTATATTATAATTTGCTTTTTGATACTGTGGAGTGTATTAAAATATGCTTTTTTATCTCTGTCCATGATTTTTCAAATTTAGCTTGTCTGCATTGTAAATTTTAGTCTCATAAGTATTAAGAACTACCTATATTTAGAGCAATTATATTTGAAAATTGTTAAAATATAATTGCTATTTTATTCAGCTTCTTTCCCTCATATTTTTTTCTTGATATGTTCTTCTCATATTTTATTTTCTTGATATGCTTCATCTTATTTCAAATACTATAAAAAAAGTCCATCTTTCTGCTTTTTCTTTCTCTCCTCTCTTCCCCTAACACACAGAATTTATCGCGAGACAGAGCATAAGATAATTTATATTGTGGACAATATATTTATTTGCAAAGAAAGCAAAAGGCAGTGTCCCAGGCAAGTGAAATCATACGCATAACAACTTTTAAAGATGTAGTGTTTCTTAAAATCATAGATGTGTCAGATTTTATTATACTCAATGAGAGAGCAGCTTGAAAATTACTGCAAGCATGATATATTATGGTTTAGGTTCCTCTAGGCAGCTTACTTTTTATATTTTTCTGTTAGAATTCTTCATGACCGTATCTGTTGCCCATTTTTAATGTGGCTGTTTGTTTTTCTTGTTGATTTGTTTAACTTCCTTAGTAATTCTGGTTATTAAATCTTTGTTGGATGCATACTTTGTAAATTTTGTAGATTGTTTACTTTTGCTGTGCAGAAGCTCTCTAGTTTAATTAGGTCCCACTTGTCAATTTTTGTTTTTGTTGCAATTGCTTTTGGGGACTTAATAAAAAACCCATTGCCGGGGCCAATGTTGAGAAGGGTATTTTCTGGGTTTCCTTCTACGATTAAAAAAAAAGAGGAATTCTTCACGTTCCTCTCAATTAGAGTTATTTTAAAGAAGGTTAATGCTTGAACCATAGTAAGTATCATGAGGTCATATCTATGTAACTATATCATTGTACTTTGTGCGGAAATGATTTTTTACTTTACTCCACACTTTACTGCTGTTGAGGAATGGAAGGAATGAGACTAAAGTGACGGTTTGAAAAGAATTGCATTCAGACTGGATTAGTTTCCTAGGGCTGCTGTAGCAAGGTACCACAAACTGGGTGGCCTACATAAATGAAATGTATTGTCTTAGAGTTCTGGAGGTTAGAAATTTGAAATCAAGGTTTTGGCAGGGTTGGTTCCTTCTGAGGGCTGTGAGGGTGAATCTGCTCCATGCCTCTTTTGTAGCTTCTGCTGGTTTGGAAACAGTCTTTGACATTCCTTATCTTGTAGCTGCATCACTCCGATCTGTGCCTTCATCTTTACATGATCTTCACATAGTCTCTCTGTGTATGCCTGTCTTTGTGTCCAAATTTCCCTTATTAAAGAGCACCAGTCATATTGGTGTAGCGCCTACCCTAATGACTTCATTTTAAACTTGACTATCTCTTTAAAGATCTTATTTTCAAATATGGTCACATTCTGATGTCTTGGGAGTAAGGACTTCAACGTGTCTTTCAGGGGATGTGAATTCATATCAGCTTTATGATGTTACTGCATTCTTTTGCACAGATGTAGACTGAATCTTTTGTTATACACATGCTCAATCAAAAGAACAATAATCTGATTTTTTTTCACTTTGATTAGCTATTCATGTCAATGTCAATTTGTTGTGACTATTGCAGAGTAGCAAACCTTTTGAACCAAATCTGTAGCAACGGAGTCTTCAACTGCATCCTTTTGGATATCTAGTTTAACACTTGGCTCAAAGTAAACTCCTTACATTGGGTTTAAAGTCAGTGCCCTGCTTGTAGAAGGACACCTGCTGGAATGTTTTTCATCAGACTTTTTGAAACAAAGTAAGAGGTTATTACATTATAAATGAGTAAAAGCCTGCTAAAGGAAAATCTTAATGTCTACAGTACTAATTCTTAAACAATGTTATTTTATTGATTCTTTTTCACTTGTGATGATTTTTTAAAAATATAAAGTAGAACTCTAAAAGTAGGCATTTTGATTTTTTAGTTTCTTCCGTAGAAGAAAACGTTATTATATTTATAAGCTTTTAATGTACTTAGATATGATTTTTTGTTACTAAGATTAATTATAATACTTAACTCTTTTCCTTAAATGAGGATTATTTTATTTTAAAACAGAGACATGTGAAATCAAATGTCTGATTTTAATTGAATTCTTCAAATTTAGATCTAGAAGTCAAAGACAAACACTTTTTTTCCTTTTGATTTTATGTTAAGCAGTCAAGGTGTTTTTTATTCTTCTCCTGCAGTCCTAATTTTGTACAGTTTAATGAAAATTATAAATCCCATACTATCTGTGATAATGAAGTTTCCTCTGTGGAAGAGAATATAAACATTTCATAACTGTTGCTAAGATGTTATTTTGGAAAGATTAACATCATTTAAAATATTATTTGATTTCAGATTTATAACTATCATTTCTTTTCTGGACTCTAATGAAAAGTTGTTCTTTTAAATTCCAAAATTGGCTTCTGTACTAAATATTATAACATACTACTTCCCCTTCCCACTCCCTGGAAATTAAATGTCTCAACTTCACATTAAAATTTTGAGAGGCCTCTAGGAAATTAGCCTGAATTTACTCAGATAGCTCTAAAGTTAACAAGAATAGACTGATCTTCATAGAATAATCAGGACAGCAAGTGCATCAGAAAGTGACCGAAACATCCCTCATTTAACTGGCTTCACATATTGAGAATTAAAGAGAATTAAAACTGCAGGAACTTTGAGATAATTCATTCCCCATTCTTTTATTTTACAAATGAGGATCTGAGGCCAGGAGAAGTGAAGGGATGTGTTGTAATACACTTAGGTGTGCTGCCTTGACATTTCTGACCTCACAGGGTCCTAAAGATTTACAGCCATGTGTTCCCTTACTCTTGCCAGATATGTCCCCTACCCAGCAGGAAAGTCTCCCCACCAGGCTGGTTCAGCCACCCAACTCAGGCCTCAACCCAAGTGGTTTTTGCCTTCTTACAAGCTGGCGAAATTATTCAAAGAAGCCAATTACATCCCCCTCCTACCATGGGAACCAGGAGGCAACTTACCCTCTAGTTGCTGTACACCACAGGCCCTGCCAATTTGCTCTACTCCTGAGTGTAACTACTATGTATCCCTGAATGGTGTGCAGAGTCTTCTCACCCAGGCTGTTAGTGTATGTGATTAATAAACTGCTGCCAGTCTCATCTGTCCAGTGTTGAGTATATCATGTACTCATCCATCTTGTATTATCCGGGGACATGGATTCTTCCTTCACCAACATAGTGGATAGGAAACTATCAGAACAAGGGATTTGATCAGTTTTACTAATATGGCTAGTATCTGATTCACTGTTGTATCTTGTCTGTGGCTTTCAGCTAGCACATTACAAAGATTGGGTGATAAATAAGTGATTGTAACCATCAGAAACTCTATTAAACAGAGGTTATATTTACTTTTGTATCCCAACTCTAGGACATAAAACAATGTTTGTGGTATTTATTCATTCGTCTAACAAAGATTTATTGAGAACCTACCCGTGTGCTAGTCACAATACACAACAAACAGATTCTGTGTCTGTGGTTTTTTAAGCTTGACATAGTTCTGTTCTCCCATCTCCCCTGCAAGTTGCTTGCAAGCTCTCTGCCATCAGTCCTCTGCCAGGAAATGCTCCTGTTCCTCAATGCTTCTAGCTAGATGAGGCCATTACCAAGCTTCCATACAAGCCAGGATCACCGTTCTTTGTGAACTAGAAGGTCTGAACCAAGAAAAGATTCTAATTTGCAGATCTGCTGCTTGGGAAAATGTTTATAGTGATCTGCCAATGACTATCCTTGCTGTCAGTGGTAATGATGCCCCTACATGAGAAATGTTCATCTGTTTCTAAGACCCACAGTCCTGAGCATCAGTGCACATGAGAGTAGATGCCA